TGACAACCTTCTACGCTATCCACAACTCCACCAATATCTGTGTCGTCTGCAAACTTACTAACCCAGCCATCTAGTTTTCATCTAAGTCATTTATATATATCATAAACAGTAGAGGTCTCCTAGTCTGAGGAAGGACATTCTTGCAATTGAGGGAGTCCAGCAAAGGTTCACCAGACTGATTCCTGGGATGGCAGGACTGACGTATGAGGAAAGATGGGATCGACTGAGCTTGTACTCACTAGAATTTAGAAGAATGAGGGGGAAATCTGATAGAAACATACAAAATCCTGATGGGTCTAGACAGGCTAGATGTGGGAAAAATGTTCCCGATGTTGGGGAAGTCCAGAACTAAGGGGCACAGTCTCAGAATAAAGGGTAAGCCATTCAGGACTGAGATGAGGAAGGATTTCTTCACTTAGAGAGTTGTGAACCTGTGGAATTCTCTCCCACAGAAAGCTGTTGGGACCAGTTCATTAGATACATTCAAGGGGGAGCTGGACGTGGCCCTTTTGGCTAAAGAGATCAAGGGACATGGAGAGAAAACAGAAACGAGACACTGAGATTGTAAGATCAGCCATGATTGTATTGAATGGTGATGCAGGCTTGAAGGGCCAAGTGGCCTACTCCTGAACCTATTTTCTATGTTTCTGTGTTTCAACACCTGCTTCAATATAACAAAGCAGACAGTCACTAACAGCCAGGGAAAGCAGCCTGCTAACATCCCATTTGTAAAGCTGTTCTGGCTCTAAACTGCTGAACACTCTCCCTTCCTTGAATACCCACGCAAATGACCCAGTACATCAAGGTCAAAGAGAACAGGCATGGTGGAGGTGACAGTCAGTTCATGCCAATCCCACAGTTGGTAAGGCTGTTGTTTGGGAAGAGAAAGGACAGACTGCTGGAGGGCAGGAGGCGCAGAGCATTCAGAACACATTAATACATTGCCTGCCAGCCTCCTGTGGCGCAGCGATTGACTTGAATCTAATTGGTTGCTGCAGAATGGCCAGTTTGTTGCAGTGACAGGCATTGTCCCCTCAACTGAAACAGTGGCATGAAGTATCAGTGTTCACAAACACAATCAGAAAGAATCTAGCCAGCCTCAAGTCCATTGTCAGCTACATACCACATTCCAATTTTCTCATGCTGTGATTTTATGATATACATACACCCTGCAGTGTTGCTAATGCTGCTGTGACTCTCAATAAGCCTCAGTACAAAGTCATCGGTTCCACTTCCCTTTTACACTGTCTGCTGTCCCTTCCAGTTACAGCAGATAACTAGCAAGCTGCAGTTAATGGAGACGAACAGAACCTCAGATTCACATCTGGAGTCTAATATTAGCCACTTAAAACACCCGGATACAAATCAAGATTATTTTTGGTGTTTATCAAGGTGAGGATTCTCAACAAGATACAACACATTACAGGATATCTGTGTCAGCATCAAACACTCTCAGGGCAAGTACAGCATGGGGATAAATACAGAGTAGAGCTCCCTTTACATTGTTCTCAGCAATCATTCCCAGGACCGCTACAATACAAGGATAGATACAGAGTAGTGCTTGCTTTACATTGTCCTCATCAAATACTTCCAAGACTGGTACAACATGGTCTTAGATACAGAATAAAGTTCCCTCCACATTGCCCCCAAACACTTTAGGACAGAGACAGCATTACCAACATCTTTCCACTTCTCATTCTTGACCTGAAACCTGAGACTGAACCTGAGAATTTTAACATCCTAGCTGTATCTACTTCTTGGTTTTATTGAGAATTTAACATTTTATTGTTTAGGTACTTGCATTTCACATTTATTTTGCAACTCTGAAATAATATATATTTTAATGTCTTAAAACTGACATCATATGGTCAGAGGCTCAGAGGAAATAAAGATATTCTAATCTCAGTCTCAGGCTATGCCATCAATCTTCTGCTCAAAGTAGGTTTAGCATCTACAAAGTAGCTGCGTGTGCAAAGTGGACCTTTTAATCATAAAATATGGCAACTGCCTGCTGTGAAAGAGCGTTGTGGTTTGCCTTCCCCAAGACTATCCTATACAGTGAGGAACTGGTCAGAATGGAAGTACAGCTTTGCATGTCTAAAGGTCCTAGATTGGATTCTCCTCTCAGAAATCCAGAGCTCTTTCTTAATATGAAGAAAAAGTGAAGTAGCAATCTGAGAGTGATTGTCACTCCTTGGTAATTCTGGCCCGTAATTCTTTTGTGAAAGTTATTGTTTTTGAGTCAACTCTCAGGTCTCTATCATTCCTCAAATGATTGGCAATGAACTGGACTCAGGCTTACCTTAATAACTTTTTGCAATTCTTAGATTTATTTTTAGTTTTATTCATGATCACAGAATGGTGGTATCGCTGGCTATGCCAACATTTACCAGCTATCCCTAATTGCCCTTGAGAAGGTGATGGTAGTGAGCTAACTTTGAACTTCTGCAGTCCATGTGGCATTGGTAGATCCACACCACTGGGCTTATATTAACAAGAATGTTTTTGGGTTCAGTGCAGTTACAGCTCTGTGCATTGCCGTAATTTTAATTGTGCAGTGCTGAAAAATGGGAATTGTGAATTAACGGTCTGTTGTACCTTGCCTTTCCAATCAAGTTATTTGAAGGACGGTTTGACATAGGTAGAAACTGCTTGAAAGATTCAATAACACACATAATCTAGCCTTACCCAAATTTAAAAATATATTAATCTTAACATATTTCAATTTTTGGTATGTTTTGGTGAATTTTAACTCCTGTTGGAATAGAGGTCCTCCACATATCCAATGTCAAACCCTCTTTTGGTGCACTCAAAAATTCAACAGTAAGTTTGTTGCCTCTCCTATCCCAATTAAGACTCACCCATCTCTTCACACAAGACCATTGTTTGCCTTGTGCTACATTCCTTAATATGGAAATATTGGTGCTATGCCACACACTAACCGCTTTATTCCATGCAAATTGACTTTCAACCATTACGTGCAGTTAGAAACTTAGCTGCATAGAATCGACCAAATTTAGGAAACTTAGGAAGTAATAATGAAAGACACAGCAGCATCAAACATGGAGATTCAGGGAAGGAGGCACACTGAAGGATTGGACAGGACAAACACAAGGGAAACTAGCTTGGTAAAGAGAAATTAGAAAAGGGAGAAAGTGCAGAGGGAATAGTGATGGACAGCTTGAAGCTGAGAGTTCATTCTAAATGTTATCTTTCAGTCATGTTTGGATTGTGTGTTTAACAATGTTAACTTTTACTATTCATTAAGAAATGCTGATGAAATTTTTTGAGCTTTCACAGCGGTTTGTGTGGTGAAGACCCTCTGAAACTGTTGTAAATACTTTAATGAATATGGCCTGTTTTTCTTGTTGATTCCTTGAAATAGTAATCTTGACTTATATTTATTAGAGGAACCTGTCACTCACACAGGTTCTGCAAATTTGATTTTCCTAGTCTATATGAAAATTAATGTTATCCTTATTACATACACTGCTAATTTTCTGAATCATATTCAACCCTAAAACCCTGACTACTGGAAAATACCTATAAATAGGTACCATCACCTGTTTGCTGCCTCTTGCTGTTTCATAGCTCCATATACACTAATTTCACTTCCATTTTTTTTTAGCTAAGAACCTTTCTCTCTCTCTCTCACTCTCCCTAACCCCCCTCCCTCCCTCCCTCTCCCCAAACCCCAACCCCTCTGACTTTGTCATTCTTTATTATCAGGGAAAGCAATCCTTCTTTTCCAGTTTATCTATCTTTTCTAAAGTACTCCCCAAATTTGGATACCTTACCATTGCATCTAATGGTAATTCAATCAAAGCTATCTGTGTTATTAATTCGTCCAGTTTTTCATGAATGTTTCACAAAGTCACATGGCTTTGATGTATGTTTGGTTTTCTTTGATGTTACCCAAGTGATTATTGCCTGATTAATGTTGTTACTTTCATTGTTCTTTCCTGACCCGCTCCGCTTCACTTTGCCCTAAACACTGTTCTGGTCTACAGCCCTGACCTTTCCCCTGTTGCTTTTCAATTTACTGGCTCCTGGATCTCACCATCTTCTCATTATTAGTTTCCTGCCTCTTACTCTGCCTATCACCAACTATCAATGGTGTCAGCCTACACCTAGTGGAGTCCATCTCAATGGAACAGATTCCTCTTATCCTTGTTTTTAGATACTTCAATTACCTCCTCCACTCTCTCCCTGTGCTTCCTGATTCCCTTCAATGGCTGCCATGCCTTTGGCTGACTTCAGGAGAATGTGAGCAGAACTAAAGGACAAATTCTGGGATTGAATGGGGGTAAATTCAAATGAATCTGTCAAAATTTCACTGAGTGACGCCACTCCCTAGGGAAATAATAGAGAAATCTAGTATGGATAAATTCAAATATAAGTTAGGTTTCTTTCTGAAAAGAACATGCTGAATGGAATATTTGATTAATTTGGGATCTGCTGTGTGGTGAATGTAGGAGCCTTGAGAGGAATGAGTGATTTTAGATCAATGGTTCCCAATCTCTCTCTTACTGTGGGTTTCCCTCACCCTCTGCCTGGGACTATAGTACATTGACTGGTAAAAGAATGATCACACTGATTAGTCAACAAGTCAATTATCATTGTATCTGTGCACTACTAGAATGCTTGAGGTAAAATGTTTAAGATGTTGATAACGTTATGCTGCTGGTGTCTGTCATCAGTGATGTGGGCTGATGTCAGATCCATTGGAAACAAAGGGAGAGAAAAACATCCTGGAACATGTAAATAGTCAATGAATATTCATCAGTTTCTAACTCACTATGATTTCCAGCTCACTTCTGTTGAAGACATACAGCCCCTGGTATAGTAATGCTCGAGTATTATTGCAGCTGGAGTATAGTCCATTTTTTTTCAACAACTCTTCAGTTTCAATGTAAATGGAGCAGGGAGCTTGCTGACCAATCTCCATTGGTCTGAAATTGGCTATGCTGTTAGACAATGCAGTAGCAGATTTGACCTACCCTGGTGCTTTGCTGTACACAGACATTGTATATTTTCCAGCCTGGCTTGAATTCCTGAGCAGGAATGCACCTTCCTTACCCTACAAAGGAAACATAAATTACTGTATTAATAGGCAAGAGGATAACATAGAAGACAAAATATCTTCACAGTTCAAGAGATTCAGTTTAAAAAAATTGCAACAATAAAAAGATTTAAAGGCAAAAAAGACTTTCAATAAGAATATGAGGAATAGAAGCAGCAGTAGCCCTTCAATTCTGCTTTGACATTAAATGCAATCATGGCTGATCTTCTCCCTGAGCCGTATTAAAAGGGGGACAGTGGTGTAGTGGTAATCTCACTAGGCTAGCAATCCAGTGTCCCAGGCTAATGTTCTGGAGACATGGAGTTGAATCCCACTGTTATTGGATAATGAACAAATTGATAAAGAGGCCTCAGGAAGTCAGGTTACAGTCATTTATTTCATGCAGAGAGAGCCAGCCTTATCACCATGAAGTATAAAACTCATAGTGGTGTATTACAAACACTTCCATGCTTTATACATCCATTTGCTTTTACAATGTAACTGAAAATGTAACCCTTAACTAAATGAAACTGATTCAATCCCACCATAGCAAATGATGAAATTTGAACAGAATTAAAAATATGAAATTAAAAAGCTAGTCTAATAGTGATTATGTAATCAATGTCAATTGTTGTAAATACTGATCTGGTTATTAATGTCCTTTAGAGAAGTATATCTGCCAATTCTATCTGGACTGGCTTACAAGTTGACCCCAAACCCACAGCAATGTAGCTGACTCTTAACTGCCCTCTGAAATGGTCAGCAAGCCACTTGGTTCAAGGACAATTAGGGAAGGACAGAAAATGCTGGCCCAGCCAATGATACTCGTGGCCACAAATGTAAAAAATCTTTGCTGCCCACTCTCCTTACCCCTCAATTCCCTGACAGGCCTAAAATCTTTCTCTCCCTGTCTTTAACATATTGAATGATGGAGCATCTCCAACCCTCTGAGATAGGCAATTCCAAAAGATTCACTTCCAGCTGAGGGAAGAAATTTTCCCTCATCTCTGCTTTAAATAATCACCTCTTTTCCTGAGACTGTGTCCCTGCATTCATGATTTCCCACTGAGTAGAAACAATTTCTCAGTGTCTATCCTGTCAAGCCCCTTTATAAACTTTTATCTTCAATGAGATTAGCTCTCATTCTGTGAACTCCAGGGAATGTGGGCCTAATTTACTTTGTTTCTCAGAACAGGACAATGCACACTTCCTGGCTATCAATCTCATGGGTCGAATGGCCTTTTCTGTGCTGCATAAATCTATGAGTCTAAAACAACATGTAGGATGCCTGGTTTAATCTCACTAATGTCTTGTTCAATTGCTGCAAAACTTGTTTATTCCCATACTCTAATCCTTTGTAATAAAGGCTAACATGCTATTTGCCTTCTTAATTGCTTGTTGGAACTGCATGCTAACTTCTGGATTAATTATATGATCAGACCCTTTGAACAACAACAACATTTACAAGCATTTTTTCTTTTTAAAAATGTTCTGCTTTTTTTTATTCATATTAAAGTAAATAATCTCACATTTTCGTGCATTGTATTTCATCTGCATCTTATGACCCAAGAATTTAACTTGTTTGCAGCTTCTTTGTGTCCTTCCCACAGTTTACTTTATCACCTCGCTTTGTCTCTAGTAAAGTTGGATAATTACACTCAATCTCTTTATCCATGTCACTAATATAGACTACAAATAGCTGAGGGCCCATCACTCCTTCTTACAGCACCCCACTTGTCATAACTTCTACAGTTAGATCTTCAAAGGTAAAGGCAAGGGCTTGTGCAATCTAATGTAGCACAGACAAAGGTAATAAAAGTGATCTGACAATCACAAGACAGAGCATTTCAACCCTTCTCCTGAAGATTAGTCCCACTGTTCCAAACTGGTCCACTCTAGGATCAAATTCCAAAGAGAGAAGTACGAGTACCAGCAAGTAATTCAATTGACTGGATTGCGTTGTGGTTAATCACTTGTATTGGTCAATCGACTGCACTTAACAGGATATATTCATAGAGTAGGGGCTCTGCAGGTCTCAAGTCCTGGTGCGTTTTTAGGAGTGGTATCTTTTATTTAACCTCATGCTGTACCTGTCCTGGGAGTGTTTGATGGGGACAGTATAGAGAGAGCTTTACTCTATACCTAACCCTGTGCTGTTCCTGTCGTTGGAGTGATTGATGGTGACAGTGTAGAGGTAGCTTTACTCCACACCTAACCTCATGCTGTACCTGCCCTGGGAGTGTTTCATGGGGATGTGTAGAGGTAACTTTCCTCTGTATTTAACTCTGTACTGTGCCTGTCCTGGACAATGTAGAGGGAACTTCCCGCTGTATCTAACCCTGTGCTGTACCCATCCTGGGAGTGTTTGGTTTAGTGATCTCTGAACGACTCTTTTGCATAATGACACTGCTAGGTTTTGATATTTTGTATCATGATGGTGAAGAGTGAAAAATGATCATTACCTCCCGTTTCAGCAGCTCCTCTGCTTTGCTCCTTGTGATTTCTTTGTTGTACCATCTGTGTGATAACAGGACAATGGTGAATATTTCTGTTCATTGCAAATCTGCTGCATGCTCACTTGCATTTCTTATTGATTTAAATGATATGGTCTTTCTGTGAGTATCAATTCTATTGGAAGGGAATACAGAGCCAGTACCAGGGCCAGTGGTCCAGAAGGCATTGACTGGATCCCTTGGGCTAATCCCCAAGGTTTACTCCTCGAGATAATGCTACATAAACTGTGAGCATGGGCAACACTCCTGCCATGAAACAGTTCAAGTCAGTAATGCACCTTCTGCCTACCCAAAGTAGATTTATCATCTTCAAGGCAGAGGTTACCCACGCACAGTGGCAGCAGTGTGTACTATCGACAAGATGTACTGCAGCAACATACAAATTCACCTCTGACAGCACCTTCCGAAAAAGCAGGACCGTATCCATCTAGAAGGACAGGACAAAAGATACATGGGAGCAGCACACCCTGCAAGTTCCCCTCCGAGATGCATACCAACCTGTCTTGGAATCCCGTTACTTCGCTGGGATAATATGCTGGAATTCACTCGCTAACAGCACTGTGGATGTATCTATACAAAATGGACTGTGACAGTTTGAAAAGGTCATTCAGGCCAACTTTCCCAGGACAGGTAGAGATGCCAAATTAAAGCTGGCCTAACCAGCAAAGCCCACATACCATGATTGATAAAAAAAGATTGACTAATTATAGAAACTTGGTACAAAATCCAGCATGATATTAATGCCAGTTCTGAGGGAGTTCTACACTGTCAGAAAGTCAGTACTGTCGAAGTGCTGCATTGCCAGAGGGTCAGTACCAGGGGAGTGCTGCCCTGTTGCAGGGTCAGTACTGAGGCAATGCTATATGATGGAGGGTCAGCAATGAGTGCTGCAGAGTCAGATGATTTACAAAGATATTGCCGGATTGAAGGGTTTGAGCTATAGGGAGAGGCTGAATAGGTTTGGGCTGTTTTATCTGGAACATCAGAGGCTAAGGGATGACCTTTTCGAGGTCATGAGAGGTATAGACAGGGTGGATAGCAAGAAGTTTTTTCCCAGAGTGGGGGACTCAATTACTAGGGGTCACGGTTTCAGGGTGAGAGGGGAAAAGTTTAAGGGAGATATGCATGGAAAGTTCTTTACGCAGAGGGTGGTGGGTGCCTGGAACACGTTGCCAGCGGAGGTGGTAGAGGCGGGCACGATAGCGTCATTTAAGATGTATATAGACAGATACATGAATGGGCAGGGAGCAGAGGGATACAGATCCTTGGAAAATAGGCGACAGGTTTAGGTAGAGGATCTGGATCGGCGCAGGCTTGGAGGGCCAAAGGGCCTGTTCCTATGCTGTAATTTTCTTTGTTCTTCGTTGTTTATAAAATCATGAGGGACATGGATAGGGTGAATAGTCAAGGTCTTGGGCGGCATGGTGGCTCAGTGGTTAGCACTGCTGCCTCACAGCACCAGGAACCTGGGTTCGATTCCACCCTCGGGCGACTGTGTGGAGTTTGCACATTCTCCCCATGGCTGCGTGGGTTTCCTCTGGGTGCCCCGGTTTCCTCCCACAGTTGAAAAATGTGCAGACTAGGTGGATTGGCCATGCTAAATTTCCCATAGTGCTTTGGGATGTGTAGATTAGGTGGGTTACAGGGGAATGGGTCTGGGTGGGATGTTCTGAGGGTAGGTGTGGACTAGTTGGGCCGAAGGGCCTGTTTCCACATTGTAGGGATTCTATGAAGCCTATGAAGAAGTCTTTTCCCCAGGGAAGGGGAGTCCAGAACTTGAGGTTATAGGTTTAAGGTGAGAGGGGAAATATTTAAAAGGGATCTAAGGGGCAACTTTTTCACACAGAGAGTGGTGCGTTTATGAAATCAACTGCCAGAGAAAGTGGTGGAGGCAGGTACAATTATAACATTTAAAAGGCATCTGGATGGGTATATGAATAGGAAGGCTTTAGAGGGATATGGACCAAATGCTGGCAAATGGGACTAGATTAATTTAAGATATCTGGTTAGCATGGACTAGTTGGATCAAAGGGTCTGTTTCCGTGCCGTACATCTGAGGGTACTGAGGGAGCACTGCACTGATGGAGTGTGAGTACTAAGGGAGTGCTGCACTATTGCAGGGTCTGTACTGAGGGAGTACTGCACCATCGCAGGGTAAGTGCTGAAGAATTGCAGCACTTCAGAGATTCAGTACCGAGAGAGTGCTGCACTGTCAGAGGGTCAGTAATGAGGGAGTGGTACAATGTTAGAGGCCAGTACCAAGGGAGTGCTGCAGTATCGGAGAGTCAATACTGAGGGAGTGCTGCACTGTGCTTTCCACCAAAACAATCCAGTAGTTGATGGTTTGAATCCAATTGCTTAAATTTAGAAATGTTCTTTATGTTCAGCATTTGCTCCGAGCTGGAACTCAGTCGCTGTTGAATATGTTTTTCTCTCAACCATTTCATATTGTCCAACAATCAGTGATTATTAATATCTTAATCAGTATTCAGATTCCCATTGTACAGAATTGCAGTTAACTTCAAGTGAATTTTATCTCCACTGCTTCTACAGAAAAGTGCTTCAAGATTTGAGTACTTTAAACAATCCTATTTGTTTCCTTGGCTTTCCAAACTGAAAGACCACATTTTTCATTTCATCCATAAGAGACATTATAAGACCAGCTGCATTGAATAGCCATCAGCAAGAGTTGCACGTGTCGTATCTTTAAAGTTAAGCAGGTTTATTAGGTTATCTAAGGAAATACAAGGGCACATTTGTCCAGATTTAATTTTCCTAGTATCCATTAATATATCCTTTAGCCTGATGTGTTTCATTGAAGCACCTATTTATGACGTGCCAACACAAGTCCCACCCCAGTGTTTCATTGTGAATTAGAATTGTGGTTACCTCTACTATGCCACTTACTCGTATGTTTCAAGCTTGTTCCCAGATTCCACCACGTAATTGCTGGGGATGAATCCTTCCTGTCTGCAAAGGGAATGAATGAAACCAGTCAGCTATTTTCAACATCCTATCCACCTTAGGCTAATACCAGAGATAGTAGGAACTGCAGATGCTGGAGAATCTGAGATAACAAGGTGTAGAGCTGGATGAACACAGCAGGCCAAGCAGCATCAGAGGAGCAGGAAGGCTGACGTTTCGGGCCTAGACCCTTCTTCAGAAAATGGAGA